CAGGGTTTACCAAGGTATTGACTGTTGGGGTAAGAAACCAGTATGCTGCAAGATGTGGGGTTTGAAAGCCACTGTGAACCTCGCCCTGTAAAACTTACACTGGCCCAAACATCCAGGTGTGGGCAGGGCAGGAGAGGATCCCGAGGTGGAGGCATGGCTTGAAGCAGTAAATGTTTCAGCCATTTTCATGAGTAGTGTTTTCGGGCTGGGGTGCCAGAAGGTGCTAGTGCTGCTGACTGAAGAAGGGAGGAGGCTGGAGGAGCACCCAGTGTCTCCCCCTCCCCTGGCAGAAGGATGTCAAGAAGCCTGGGTGGCGGTGGGTCAGTCCAACATGCCACAGCTGTGCAGAGCTCCACACTGCATACATTACTCTGGGCAGCTGTGGCTCTTGGGGGACCCAGCCTGGGGCAGAGCTTTGTCTGTGGGAAACCTTAGAGGTTAACACAGAATACTGTCTTTAAACTTTAAAGGTTTCCCTCCCCTTTGCCATCTGTTTGTCTTTACTTCAGTCTCATAGTGGAGAGCAGCAGAAGTGGCTGTTGCTGTCCCGAGGAAGTTCAAGCTATGGGGTTGTGAAACTTCCAGAGTATTGTTTGTTCATTGCACAGCTGTTCAAAATGTTTAATAAAGCTTTATAAACTTTGCTCTGTGGCCTCCTGCCCAGCACGATGCATTAGCTGTTCATTGCAGATGCCTTCGCCCAGCAGTCATGTGTCTCTGTGTTGTTCCCAGCACAGTAACGCCAGAGAGTCTCCAGCCAGAGGCAGAGCCTGTTTGCCCCGTAGCTCCCAGTACTGACTCTTCTCTGGCTGTTTAACCAGACCGTGGGCAGACTGAGAACCATACTGGTGATTCCTAACCAGACTCATCCTACACACAACACAGGAGGCCATATCTGGTTGTATCTCTGCACTTAGGTGACATATTCCCCCTTTCTTTACCACTTACGAAATTAAACCACAGAGCCGTGTCCTGAAAGACACTAATCCCCACCGCCAGGTGCCTGTGCAGTGTCAGCCCATCCCAGGACACTGCATCTTCCCAGCCTGTCCCCCTGCTGTGGGCAGAGACTGGGCTGCAACCCCACTGCTGTGAGCCATCCAGGAGGAGATTCGGTTGTGTCGACCCTTCTGCAGCTTTGGCCACGACCCTGTGTGGGGGGAGGAGGGGACACACTGCAGCCAGACATGGGACTTGGATCTGACAGCGCCCAGGAGCACCTCGGGGAGTTAAAGGGCGTAGGAGCTGTGCTGCTGGAGCTGAAAACACCTTCCTCTACCCTTGCTCCAAGCCCTGAAGACCGAGTCCAAGTTGCAAAGGGTTCAGGGCATATCACTGTTTACATGTTTAAAAAAAAGTGTGTGCCACATCCCCAAGAATAGACATGACAGCTCTGTCACCTGTCAGGCTGAGGGAAGTCCCAGGAGCTGTGTATCAGCTACAGCATAAACAGCAAATAGAAAGGGGAGGGGAGGGCAGGGCATCTCCTTTGCGAGCTGTGGTAAGACTGTTGTCTGAGCTCTGAGCAACTTTTAAGTCTAAATTTATTTAAGCTAATGCCATCAGCTCTTTCTAGAGTACATCTTTGTTGCTCACTAGCCAAGCTGTGCTCTACAGCAGTTTAAATAAATCATAGCCACGAAGCCAGACAGTCCTTTGGACAAGAGCAAGCCCTGGCTTTGTACGTGGGGTTCGAGACAAGACACAGCTGCAGGGTTTTCCTTCTGCGAGACCCAACTCGGAGGAAAAAAGCACTTCAAAAGGGGGACGCTGCTGGTGTAGTGACAGGAGAGATCTTGGCAAACTGATGCATAAGAAACCTACTTTTTACAGCCCTCCCACCCCAACTGTAGTTAAAGAACGCTCTTTGATATGCACACAGCCCTCCCCAGCACACTGTCTCACCCTCTTTCGGGCACTGAGATACCATCTTCATTTTAAAGATAGAAAATTAAAGCAACTTCATCATGGTCGGACAGAAAGCCGCAGGCAGAGTGAGGAACCCAAACCAGGTCTCGCATCCCATGCTAATGCCCTGCTCGTCCTCTATAAAGAGACCATGAAAAACCAGCCTGCCACTGCAGAACAGGTTGAACCCGATGGCTTCTGAAAAGCATCATCACGGCTTCCTGGCTTGCACACCACAAATTGAACCGAGCCCATATAGACGCAGCAGCGCTGCTCTCGGACAAGCATTTGCTGGCTACACGGGAGAGAGCTCAGAAGTGTTCTTCCCTGGTCTCAAGGAGCTGCTCTGCCAGAAGAGCAGTGGGGTGGTTCTGTCCCCTGGTATCCTGGGGGCACCAAGGGGTCTCTGCATGGGGACCCCACCCAATGGGCTGACACTCTACACAAGTGACTCTGAAAGCAGGAGGGTTAAAATAACAACCACCGTGTTGTGCCAGGTTGTGCTGAGCCTGGACACTGCCCGCGAGGGCTTTGGCGCAGAGCTGGTCTCATCACCTTGCTGTGTTATGAAGCGTCCATCTGCCTGGTGCTCCCTAGAGACAGGGAGCAGGAGCCTTAAGCTGCTCCTTTGTCTTTCCACTTGCTCATTTTCTTTTCTAGGTCATGTAACAGATCAGTGACACAGCAGGGTCAGAAAAGGAAAAAAAACAACACAAACCCAGGCTCAGACCCCTAGAAGCAGAGACATGGCTTAGCTCAGGCAGTACTCGGGCTCATCACTGCAACGGCAGGGTGCGGGGGCTTCCCGCTCCCACCTTCCCATTCGTCAGGGAGAGACAGTGTCCCCAGGATGAGCACCTGGGACACCCCAAAGCTTCCCACGGAGAAAGTTTGGCCATGACTGCCAGCCTTGGGTGGCTTTTTGGACCCTAGATCTGCT